GACCCCCGGGGTCGGCGGCCCCCCGGGTAGACCGCGGCCCCTCTCCGGGCCTCAGTTCCCGTGTCTCCAAATCGAGGCCGAGAGCACAGTTTAAGGGAACTGCCGCGCGGAAGTCCCTCGCGAACGCGTGGCTCGGTCGGCCTGACCGGGCCTGGGGGGCCGGCAGAGTCGCGGGGGTCGCCGCGATGGACTCCCTGGCAGCGCCCCAGGACCGCCTGGTGGAGCAGCTGCTGTCGCCACGGACCCAGGCCCAGAGGCGGCTCAAGGTGTGTGTGGAGCAGGGGTGGAATGTGGGTCAGGGTGTGTGTCCGCTCGGCCGGGACCCCGCGAGCTCCAGGACGTGGCAGGGGCAGGCATGGCCGGGGTCCGCCAGAGATGGTCTCCCGGACCCCGAGGGCGGGGGAGGATCGGCGCCGCTGTCTATAAATAGCCCCTGCTCTGTCGCCACCGCAGCCGCCGCCCCCGCGGCTGGATCAGGGCCAGACTGGGCCTCCCACCCCTAGTACTCGCAGGAGGGGTGAGTGTTGAGGCCCTGGGCTTCCCCTCTTTATGGTGGGACTTGAGTGTATCTGAGGGGTCTCAGTCTTGGTGTCCTCCGCCCACGAAGGGAGGACACTGCCTGTGCCTGCTGCTGCCTGACATCCTCCCAAGCCCACACACATAGTTTCAAGTTACTGCAAAGACCCTCGCTGAGGTGGGGGGCAGGGGTGCCTTTTGCCACTCCCTCACCTGCCTTCCCACCTCCAGAACTTTGCCCGCAGCCCCTCACCCCATTTTTGTCAATGAAACGCCTTCCCCTGAGGACTGTGCCCTCTGCAGCCTCTTCATCCTAACAGGGTGGGAGACAGGGCATTGGGCTACCCCAAGGAACCCCAGTGTGCCCCTGACCTGCCCTACCCCTGCCCCCCAGGATATTGACAAGCAGTACGTGGGCTTCGCCACACTGCCCAACCAGGTGCATCGCAAGTCGGTGAAGAAGGGCTTCGACTTTACGCTTATGGTGGCTGGTGAGTGGGCCGGGCTCCTGGGTGGAGGGACTGGGGCCACTGGCCAGCCAGGCTCAGTTGTGGGGGCCCCAGGTCTAACTTGACTCCTCCCCTGTATCTGTGGCAGGTGAGTCCGGCCTGGGGAAGTCCACACTGGTCCACAGTCTCTTCCTAACTGACTTGTACAAGGATCGGAAGCTGCTCAGTGCAGAGGGTGAGTAAACCACACAGCGCTGGCACTGACCCAGCAAACTCTGCCATGTGACCCTTCAAAGGGCCCCCTTCCAGGTCCAGCCCCCACACTTCTCACAGTGTGGGTCCCAGTTAGGGTCCAGGAGGAATGTTGTACACTGCAGTCAGGCCTTGTGGCCAAGGCCAAGGCACCAGGATGGATGAGGACAAGAGTCCTGGTGGTCTGGGACGGGAGCGAGGGCCGAAGAGGTTTCTCCAAATAATGCCTTCCCCTTCCCACAGAGCGCATCAACCAGACGGTGGAGATCCTAAAGCACACAGTGGACATTGAGGAGAAGGGTGTCAAGTTAAAGCTCACCATCGTGGACACGCCCGGATTTGGGGATGCTGTCAACAACTCTGAGTGGTGAGGAGAGCCTGGCTGGGGAGTGGGTCCCTGCTCCGGCCATCTCAGGCCGGCCACAGCCCTCACAGCCTGGCCTCATGCCTCCTTCTGCCCCCAGCTGGAAGCCCATCACTGACTACGTGGACCAGCAGTTTGAACAGTATTTCCGTGATGAGAGCGGCCTCAACCGCAAGAACATCCAGGACAACCGAGTGCACTGCTGCCTGTACTTCATCTCCCCCTTCGGGCACGGGTGCGTGGCTGTCCTGGGGCCAGACTCTGGAGTCCAGCCACCTGCAGCTTATCCCCATGGCCGTGCCTGTCACTGCCCTTCCCCACAATCTCACTGTGCCCCCATCACCCCCTCACCATGCCCATCCCCATCCCTGGCTGCCCTCTGTAGGCTGCGGCCGGTAGACGTGGGTTTCATGAAGGCTTTGCACGAGAAGGTGAACATCGTGCCCCTCATCGCCAAAGCCGACTGTCTCGTCCCCAGTGAGATCCGGAAGCTGAAGGAGCGGGTGAGCCTGCTGTGGCAGGGGGGCCTGGCCCAGGACTCTGGGGCTGGGAGTACCAGGTGGACCTGGCCAACCCCAAATCTGACAGCCCTTACACCACCGCAGATCCGGGAGGAGATTGACAAGTTTGGGATCCACGTGTACCAGTTTCCCGAGTGTGACTCAGACGAGGATGAGGACTTCAAACAGCAGGACCGGGAACTGAAGGTGAACATGCAGCTCAGTGGGAACAGGGTTCGGAGGTGGCCAGGGACAAAGAACTGGAGGCCAGAGGGCCTTGTCCTGCTCACACAGGGCCTGGAGGAGGGCCAAGCACCCAGGGCTGACCTGGTTAGGGCAGGGGTCATTTGTCCTCAGAGTAAAGAACCTGTACCCCCTTCACCTAGGGTTAAAGGGTGAGGGTCACCTGTGTCCCCACCTGGACTGTGGTGGGTCATTTGGGTCCCACATACATGCTTAGTGGGTCATGGAGCACTTACCCAGATATTAAGATGCTGGTCAGGCTCCTACCCTGATCCTCTTCCTGCAGGTCCCCAGGGAAAGGGTCCAGCCAAGTGGCCACAGGGCAGCACTATCAGGAGGCACAGGCTCGGCTCTGGGAAGAGAAGATTCTTAATGGGGGTGGGGAGGGGGATCAGGAGAGGAGCCCTAGAGGTGTAAGCTGCAGGGCTCTGGCTTCAGCAGGCAGCAAAGCCAAGAAGGGGGAAGACGCCAGGATCTCTTTGGGGAGACGTGGCTGATGGTGATGTTGGAGGGTCGCCCTGGGTGTTGAGCGCCCTTGCCCCTCTCCAACCACTAAATCGGCACTCCTACTGACTGGGCGTGAGCCCTTGCCTACCCCTCCCTCAGGAAAGCGCGCCCTTCGCTGTTATCGGCAGCAACACGGTGGTGGAGGCCAAGGGGCAGCGGGTCCGGGGGCGACTGTACCCCTGGGGGATCGTGGAGGGTGAGTTGATGCTTGGGATATGGGTTACGGGGTGGGAAGGCTCGTCTGGGCCAGCGCCCACTCACCCACCGCCCGCTCCTACCACCCAGTGGAGAACCAGGCGCACTGCGACTTCGTGAAGCTGCGCAACATGCTCATCCGCACGCACATGCACGACCTCAAGGACGTGACGTGTGACGTGCACTACGAGAACTACCGCGCGCACTGCATCCAGCAGATGACCAGGTATGCCGCCCCCGCCCCCACAGCAGAACGGGACCTGCCCCTCCTGATCCCGGCCACATCTCCATAACCCAGGGCGTGTCCCACCGCCCACTATACCCGAACCTTGCCCAACGCCCAAATCGGCCCCCCAGTACCTGGTCTCCCCAGAGCCAGCCCAGGGTGTGAGAGCTCAGGAGGGCAAGGCGTTGGCAGTGGCAGGGGTCAGCTAGGCATCCCCCACCTCAGCCCACTACTCTGAGCCTCCCAGCAGCGCTGGCCCTCCCATCTCCCCGCAGCAAACTGACCCAGGACAGCCGCATGGAGAGCCCTATCCCTATCTTGCCGCTCCCCACCCCGGACGCTGAGACCGAGAAGCTCATCAGGATGAAGGACGAGGAGGTTGGTGGGGCGACAGGGGAGGAGCCAGAGCCCAGTGGGACGGCAGGGGGAGGGGTGGGGGAGTGAATGCGGGGCCAGGTGCCTGTCCTCGCGTTTCTCACTGTGCTCTCCGTTGTCCGAACCCTTCCAGCTAAGACGCATGCAGGAGATGCTGCAGAAGATGAAGCAGCAAATGCAAGACCAGTGACCCCGCCCCAGCCCCACGTTGCCATGGATATACCGCCCGTCTCCGGGCTAGCGCTCCCGCCCCTGGACCCCGGGCTGGCTTGGACTCCACCCTGGGTTCTCCCGGATCTCGGACTGGCCTGGACAGAAACCCAGACGGGCCTTAACTGGACTGTTCCTGACCCGGAGACGCGGGGCCATAGCCCCCAGCTGTCCCTAATTTATTCTCAGCATCAACCCCTCCCAGGTCATTTGTATGTACCTCTGACGGGCCTGGACAACGCCCTCTGCCCCCCGCCACCACCCCCCCAAGCTGGCACCCTCTCTCTGGCCTTGAGGAATCAGGAGCTAAGCTGGTCACGACTTCTGAGATCTCCCCTCCCCACCCACAGAAGGTAGCAGCATCCAGGCCCTGCTCAGGCAGGCGGGTAAACCAAGGAAGAAGAGGGGAATGGATCCCCTGGGTCCCGGGCCTATTCCCCCACCCCAGTGCCGCAGAGCGGATTTGGGAGCCTTCCTGTGCCTGTTCCTGTGGGCCACCCAGCGTATGCTGAGACCCTGCTCTGTGCCGAGGTGGGCCGGGTCCTCTCTTACCTCCTCACCCACGCACCGGAGGCCCAGAGGGCTGGGTTGGGCGGCAGAAGCATTGGGAATCCTCCTGACATCAGGAGGCCAAAGGCTGCTGGCGAGGAGGGTGGGAATGGACACTTGGGACCGCCCGTGTCTCTCCCCCACATGCCCCGGCTCTACTTGGAGGCTTCCAGGGGCAGTGGGCTGCCAGCCCTCTATGCCTAGACAGCCATTCCCTGTTCGTAGCTTGGGGTCCCTTCTCCCCAGCAGCACTGCTGCACCAGGATCCCAGCCCTTGGCCTCCCGGGTCTCTCCACCCGCATGATCCCTCCCCCACACCTCACACCGTTTTGTTCAGTTGTGAATGCCGCGTCCTGTCCTGGTGACAGGAGAACAATGTTGGTGAACGTCGCAGCGAGTGTCCGAGTGTTCCGTGCGCCCCTTGGAGCGGGTGGGGGCGGAAGCCCTGGTGGCTGGCGGGCCGTGGCGATAGCGCGCTATCTGCCGCCGCAGCGCCTGTCCACGCGGCCTCTGGGTTATTTCTGGCCAGGCGACAGCGCTGTGGTCGGTGCAGCGGGAGCGCCGGGGCCTGGCAGGGGCGGGGCGGGCTTATCGTCAGACTCCCCGGCCAACGCCTCCGCTCCAGAGCAAGCCGGGCCACCGTCCTCTCACCATGGGCTCCGGTGAGTCTGTGGTCCGGTCGGCTCTGGGCCTCTCCCTGGGCAGACCCAGGTTGGGAGGCGCTCCGATTGTTCTGGTTGCAGAAGGGAGAGTCTTGGCTGACAGATGAGACTTCCAGCCAGCGCGCGGGGTGGTCGGGGTGGAGAGGCTTGCGGCTAAAGGGGCCTCGGAACTGGATGGGGCCGGGCCCAGCGCTCCGGGTGCCCGCCGCCCGCTCACCGCGGCGCTTCCCTTCCAGGGCCGCGCGGGGCA